AGCGCCCCCCCCCCAGTGTCCACATGTCCCCGCACAGCCCGGCGACCTCGCCAGCTGAGCGGCCCCCAGTATCTACAGCACCCCGCTTTCCTGGAGACCCGCCCCGCCAGCTGTGTCTCCCCCCGAAAAGAGACCCCCACCTCGCCCACCAGAGCGTGCTGTGGCCCCGCGAGGGACCGCTCTACCTGTCGGTCCCCAGCGGAGCCCAATCGGCCACCTCTCCGCTCGGACCCGTCCCGCGACCGCGCTCTTCCGCCGCCACCGGCTCCGCCCACCGGCCTTGGCCGTGACGCTCGGGGCGGGGCTTGCGCCGGGCACCGCCCCCTCGGCTCACCCGGGTGGGCCGGGCTGGGGGCGGGGCCTTGTGCCGCTCGGCCGAGCACCTGCCCCCGCGTCTTCTGCCTACCCGCCACCCCCGGGCGGCTCGCGGCGGATCCCGGGCGGGCGCGCGAGGAGCGGTGCGTCCGAGCAGCCCCTTCCTCTGAGCTAGGCCCCGGCAGCGGTCGCCGGGGCGGAAGCGGGTGCTGCCAGTGCGCCCCGGCCCGGGCCCAGAGCTCCCCGTGAGCCCAGGGAGGTGCGTCTCTGCGTGGTTGAAACAGGAGCCTCAGGTGGGTGGGGCGGCCTTGGTCTTTCTGTGGGCTCAGCTTCCTGGTCCCTGAGGCGGGGTGAAGGCCCCTCCCTAACTTCCAGGCGCCTGACCCGCGCGCTAAAGCCACTTGGGCGGAGGAGGGATGGGAGAGATTTAGTCCTTGGGGCCCCAGCTCCATGCGAGGAAGGTCTTCTGTAGACCTTCCTCCCTGGGCAGGCTCTGCCCCTTGATTTCTGGGCCCCTCACCTCTCCAGACCACTTTGCTGAGCTGGGGCCTGCCTGGAAAGATCTTTCTCTTAATAAGAGCCCTCACCTGGCAGTACCCTGCAGGTGCGTCTTCACATACTTCAAATGGGACTTTTAGAAAAATACTGGAACCAAGCTGGGGATCTCCGTGAGACATTTTGCTGGCCACCACTCAACATAGAGGCGTTTCACTTACGATGTACTGAACCCAGCCCTAGGGCCACACCAGCCGTGAGGAGACAGTTAACTTCTGGTCTTCTCCGGCCTCTGTGCGGAAGGGTGGAGCTTAACCACTCCCTTTGGTTCACCACTGAATTCATCGCGGTCTTCAGATGCGAGGCCTCTGAATTGCATCCATCCATGGTCATAGCCCGCAACCCTACGACAACTGTTGCAGTGTGGGGAATCCGCAGCCTCGGTGCAGAGCCTGCCACAGCGTGCACGATTGCGTCTTCAACTGGAAGTAGATGGGGTTCTGTTGCTTTGATTCCGCACTCGGTCCTGTTGCCGTGTGTGACTCCAGGCAACTGCTCTCAACCGTTGCTTGCTAATCTAGGGCACGTGTGGCTCTTCTCAGTATGACACTTGAAACTGGGCGGGTCTTTGCACCTGCTTGCACCCATAGAATGGAGGTGACATTGTTTGGCTTCCCAGGTTAAGTCATTAAAACACTTTGTTGTCTTGAGTTGTTTGCTCTTGGAGTCTAGCCATCATGTTGTGGGGGAGCCCATGGCCACATGGAGAGAACTTGCACTGAGCTGAATAATGTCCCCCCAGATCCGTGTCCACCTAGAACCTGGGAATGTGAGCTTATTTGGAAACATGTTCTTTGCAGATATAATCAAGTTAGGATGAAGTCATGCTGAATTAGGATGGGCCCTAAATCCAATACGACTGATGTTGTTGAGAGAAAAGTTTAGGCACAGCATGTAGGGGAGAAAACCTATGGTGATGGAGACAGAGATTGGGGCTCTGCTTACAGCTACCAGCCAAGGATTGTAGGAGCAGGAAGCTGGATGAGGCAAGTAAGGATTCTGCTCTAGTACTTTGAGGGAGTATAGTCCCATCAGCATCCTGAATTCAGATTCTAGGCTGCAGAACTTTAGTACATTTCTAGTTTTTTACTTGACTCAGTTTGTGGCATTGTTTATGGTGGCCAGAGGAAACTAACGCAGGCCTCACATGGTTCTGAGAATGTGGTTGTGAGTCCTGACTGAGGTCCTAGCTGACAAGCATCCACTGCAGACGCGTGGACAAAGCTCTAGATGATTCCAATCCCTGACATTGGGTCACCCAGCCTGGAAGCTGACCTAGCTGATGCTGGGGGTGCAGAGATGGGCTGTCCCCAAGGAACCCTGCCCAAATGGAAGATTCCTGAGCAAAGTAAACGACTGCTGTTGTGTTTAAGCCGGTGAGGTGGGGTGGTTGGTTACACAGCAATCGATGTGGGACTACGTGCATTCACCACATTCCGCCTAGACCCTCCCGGGGATGGATGCCACATTGCCTGACTCCATCTGTGTACATGTCCTCTCATGACCTGGTCGTAAGGTCGGAGGGTCATTTGGCATTTGCGTTGGCCCAGGACTGCAGCTAGTTCTTGAATCTGCTGCAACCCTCCCCCCGCCCCCGTGTATGGTTTCCAGCTTCTGCACACCACCATGCTCAGCTTTGCCTAGTTTTTGGATTTTACCAGTATAGTGCACATGAAATTCTACCTTGTTACTGTGTTAATTTGCATTTCTTGATTTTTAAAGTTTTGAACACTTCTTGTGCTAATTAGCTTTTTAAAACTTTCTCCTCTGGAGGTGCCTGGCTGGTGCAGTTGGTTAACTGTCTGACTCTGGATTTTGGCTCAGATCATGGTCTCAGGTTTATGAGACTGAGCCCTGTGTCGGACTCCCTGCTCTGCTTGAGATTCTCCCTCTCCCTCTGCCCCCTCCCTGCTCGTGCATGCTCTCTAATAAATAAATACACCTACAAACAAAAAGACCTTCCTCTTCTGTAGACAATCTGTTCATAGCCTTTGCTATTTTTCTCTTTGGGACTGCTGCCTTTTTCTTGTTGATCTGCAGGATTTCCAGTGGGAAGAGTGGATTATTCATCCATTTTATGGAGGAACCATGGGCTCAGAGTCATGGGCTCAGCCTGTCCGACTGCAGCGCCTGGAACAGGGTGCCAAGGAGACAGCCCCCCGTATGGGGCCCATCCCCAGAGGTGTGGTCCCCAGCGCCAAGCCAACAGGTACTTCCACTATCAGGCTTAGCTGAAGACACATCTTCATCCTCCATCTGCTTTATGCAGCGGCCTTTAAAATCCTATCCTTGAGACGTCAATGCCAAGGACTGAACCATGGGATGTTACCTCTTCTTCCCGAGGCTCCATGGTGGCTGGTGTGCTCATCCAGGTCTGGGTTACTCAGAACTCTACACTTACAAGAGTATAAGCAGAATGTCAGGGGGGCCAAGGGTGGGGAGACAAAGGCAAGGTGTTGGGCGGGTGCTGGCTTGTCTGCTCTGGGAGCACTGACAGGCAGAGGACCACAGGCCACAAAAGCTCCAGAGACAACAGCTGTCCCAGGGATTCGGGTTGGCCTGCCCCAGCCCACTGGGCCCAGCACCCAACTGTGGGGCCTGGACTGCAGGTGCCCGTTGGCCTCTTGAGTTGGCTAGCTGGGCTCAAACCCAGTTCTGCCATCATGAGACGTAGCCTAGCGAAGGTGCTTCCCCTGCTCCTGCCTCAGTTCCTCATGGAAGTCCTCGGAAGACAGACCTGCAAAGCACCCAATAAACACCAACTGCTGTTGCCATCTCCGCAGAGCCTTTCCCCGGGCTGCACACTGCACCTGCACACTGCTCCCGTAACTGGCCCCTGGGGTGGCTGGGCCCAAACCACCTGCCTCGGGGGTAACTCAGGTCTGCCAGGGGTCCCTCCTTCCCTGGCAGATGCTGCTTGCTTTCTCCTCTTTAGGGGCGACACAGATCACAGCTCAGGACACCCATGTGTGTTTCCCACCTGGAGGATGAAGGTGCTTCCCGAGACCCTGCAGGCCAAGAGGTCCAGTCCCAGGTCCTGCCCAACCCACTCGGCCCCGCGGAGCATGTCCTGCCCCAGAGGGTCTGGGAGGTGGTCTCTGGGACAGTCTGGCTCTTGCTGGTCCGCAGGGGAGGGGTTGTGCTACTCAGGCCTCCGCACGGCCAGTGGAATGGCGAGCACGCGAGCCGTGCAGCGTGAGATACCAGTGACCTCTTTATTTTTGGCTGTGTCAGTGGCTGCCCAGGGCATGTAACAGTCAGAGTGGGCACTGGGCTGCAGGCAGGCACTGACCCTTGGGTTCACGCTGACCCAGAAGGGGACATGCGGGGATGGGAAGTGGCCAGGGGTCCAATTCGTACCGTGCCAAGGGCCGGGGTGGCTCAGAGGCCCCAGACACGGGTGGATGCCCTGGGGGTGCCTGGGCTCCAGAGGAGAATGGAGTGATCAATGCCCAATAAGTAAACAGCACAGTTTCAGACCACCTAGGCCCCAGCCCTTGGGTGGGAGGCAGGGTATGGGGCCAGGCCCTCTTCTTGACTAACAAGCCACTGGTGCTGGAAGCTGACTGTCACAGGGATGGGAAGGGAGAGAAACCAGACCTGCCCTCTGCCAGGCCCAAGGCGCCCTCCCTACCGCTGAGTTGCTGGGGCTGAGGACCATGTGTACCGGCCCCAAGGGGAGTCCACAGCTCTGATGTTCGTGCACAGAGCCTCTCAGGCTGAGACAAGAAAGAGATGGGCCTACTTCCTAGGAGCTGGTGCCTCTGAGGAACAGCGGTGTCTCAAGTCCCTGGGCCAGATGTCAGGTTAGGGCAAGTGTGAGAGCTACACAGCCCCACCACAGCTGGCCTAGTGCCCCCCTCCCCCCAGCAGGTGACTCCTGGACGGTCCTCGGCAGGTCCTGTCCTCCTCTACTTGCCCAGGGCCCCCCGGGGCAGTAGCTCCACGTAGTTCAGGGCACTCTGTAGTGACGTCAGGCAGTAGCCCTCCTCTCCAATCAGGTACCTGTGGAGAGGTGGGCCCAGGCAGCATCTGTCACCTCCAGGGGATGCAAGGAGGCCCCCAGCACTTTGGAAGGGGTGTCTGCCCTCATGGGGCAGGACCTGGATGCTGAGGTCCCACAGGGGTCTGTCAGGGAGGCTGGGCTAGAGGATAGCCCACTCCCCAGGCAGATGCTGCTCAAGGGATGGCCCCCCCACCCAGGTCCTGTCCAAGCAGTATGCTGAGCAAGGGGAAGTGGGAAGGGACTGGCAGAGGGGACCATGGGCCATGTGCGCAGGTGGACCCCCGACCTGGGAGCACGTGCTCAGTGCACCATGCTGGCCTGACTCCAGCCGGGGGCTCCTACCCCTCATGGATGAACTCCTCCAGGGCTGCACACTCTGACACCAACTGGGGGAGACCGCTTCTCAGCACCACAAAGGACAAGATGGGCAGCAGGTCGTCAGCACCGCTGTTGGGCAGAGGCACGGCTGGCCGGTAGGCTCCGGGGCCCAGTATGGCTGCTCAATCCCCCAAACCCTGCAGCCCCCAGCTCGGCCTGTGGAGTGGTCCAGGGCTGACCAGCTGCTCTCCCTGGGCCCCTCCTGCCCGCCTGCGTGGGGGAGTTGGGAGTGGACGAAGGGCAGTCCCTACAGGCAGCAAGGCCATCCCTGAATGGGAACCCTGTGCTCCGGAGCGCACGGCTGGACGAGGCGATGCCCCCACAGTGCACGTGTGGGGCTGCCTCACAAGGCTGCCCACACCTGGGGAGCAGGATAATGGAGGGGATGGCCCACGTCCAGGCAGCCTGCTGACACCCGGGATCGGAGCCAGGCACCTGAGATCCCCCACAAGAGGCATCTAGGGGAGCTAAAAAGGTGCCAACGGAGGCCCTGCAGGGCACGCAGAACCCTGGCCCACGGGGCCCACGGGGCCCACGGGGCCCACGGGTTGGTGGTCTCTGGGAAGGGCATCAGGCAAAAACTATGGCTTGAGTATGACCACCAATCATCTGTCTCTTTCTCCTTGGGTGGAGCTCTTGCTTGCTGATCTCATGCTCAACTCTAGCTTCTACCTGCCCATTACCTCCAGGCCCTTGGGTGTAGTAGGTGCTAAAACCCACCCGCCAGGTTCAAATGACAGGTGCCTTCGTTATAACACTGGTCCCTGGGGCAGGGTGGCAACAGAAAGAGCCCCTGCAGGTGCTGAGGAGCCGGGAGCCCCAAATAGGGGCCAGGGCAAGAGGCTGCTGGCCCCAGGAGGGTTCAGATAAGACAGATAGAACCAGGCATCGCAGATCCAGGTAGAGAAGACCCCCTGCCTCACCTCAGGATAGTGGGGGCAGGGATGATACAGGAACCCCAGGTGTGGGGGCTTAGCACAGGGAGCAAGCTCTTCACTGAGGCTGGGGCTTTTCCCCCAAAGTGTGCAACTGAGGGACCAAGCACGTGCTGTTGGGACAAGCAACCCTAAATTTCACCAGATTAGTCAGGTGTTCCCTAACTCCTAAGAAGTCCTGCCCAGAGGGGCGGGAATGCATCGTTCACGGGGGCTGGAGCCCAAGCCCCTGGTGGACATGGGTACTCTGCTGGACGATGAGCCTTGCAAAGCTCACTGTAGCAGTGGGATTCTGGGGCCCAGGGGCCCAGAATCCAGGCAGAAACTGCAGTCCCGCTGCTTGGGGCAGGACAGGAGGGTTCTCTCTCCCCCAGGCCTCTACAGGCAGTCCCCCACAAGCTCAGTGTCCATCCCAGTCTGTTTTTGGGACTCACATGGCTGCGGCACCCACTGGGGGTCTGGTCTCAGGGGCAGCCTCCTGGGCCTGGTAGTAATCCTCGGCACAGGCACAGATGACCCGCAGGACCCGCACTGTGGCACAGAAGTGAGGCTTCAAGAGAGGGCTGAGCGGAGCCGGTCCCAGGACAGCCCAGAGGCCACAGCAAGTCTCAGGCACCCACCCTGAGAAGCTCCCTCCCGATCGTGCCCTCACACCACTTATGGCCCGTGAGACACACCCCCACTTGACGGGAGGAGGGTCTGCAGCTCAGGGCAAACAGAGACTCCAGGTCACCTGTAGGATGGAACCGTATCTGAGCATGTTCCCCCTTCTGTCCTCCCAAACTGCAACCCCTCACCGATGCACTCCAGCTTCTTCTGGGGGCAGCTCTCCAGGACCAGCAAGCCCAGCTCTTGGGCTGCAGCACAGTAGGGGTAGGGACCAGCTCCCGTGGCCTCCAGGTCCCGGGGGAGGAGCTTCCTGGGAATGCCTATGGCGGCTGGGGGTGCACTCCTGTAGAGCTCCATGCTCCTGCTCAGGGCGGCCTCCCGGAGGCGGTGCACACTCCTGGAGCAGAGAGAGGCCAGGTTCAGCTGCCCAGGGGCTCTGCCCCAGGGACGGAGGCAGGGCTAGGTAAAGCTAGCTACACCCCGAGTCACAGGGGCGTGGGCGAGGCATCTGAGGATGGCTGAGAGTGAAGCACCAGCGGGAAGGGTGCCCCGGGGCCATCTGTGGGGACTGGAACTGGGAACGTACCTATAGAGTGCCAGCAGCAGGGGCCACAGTGGAGAGAAGAAGGGCTCCTCGATGCAGGCCAGACACCGGTCCTTGGAGGCGGCCACGTTCAGGCCTTCGAAAGCCAGGAGGGTCAGCGAGAGCAGCCTGTCTGCCGGGAGCAGAGCCGGCACAATGGCGCTGTGGGGACGGCTGGGCCCTCCAGCCCCAGGCTGGCAGCCCCTGGAGGTCATCCCCAGCCAGCCTGGGGTGCCCAAGTGGGCCCCACAGCCGCCCCCTCCTCTCCCACCCTCCGTGTGGACAGCGCCACAGTGTTCCGGCTCGGTGGGGTGGGGGTCTGCCTGAACCTCCCTCCACTCCCCTCAAGCTTCCCACTTCCGTGTCCACGGAGTCCGGGGGCAGAGCACCCAGGAGCTCACAGAAGCATGCCCCGCTCCCCCGAGGAACTAAGAAGACAGGCTGAGGAAAGCCAAGGACAGCCTCTCTCTGAAGGAGTCTGTACTCCAAACTGCAGGAACCTGAAGAACTTTAGAAGCATATTTAAAACAAGACCTGAGACCCAGAGAGATGGGAGACCCATCCAGGTGACCTTGAAAGGCATTCCAAGCCGCCTGTTGAGACTCCCTCACTGGTTTTTAGGAAACCCTGAAAGCCTTCCTCCTTGGAAGGGACTTGGGAGTCACCAGCCACCCTAGACGCCGACCCTTAGGGAATCCACACACTATTCCCAAAATGGAAAAAAATCTCAAAATTGTCACCACCAGGCTGCACACACCTGATGGTCCTTGCTTTAGAATGACCTGAGTCCAACCCTACGGGCCAGGACCACCTGGCGGGCAGAGGATCTGACAGCAGACCCTTCCCCAAACCCTTCCCAGTGCAGCCCAGGGAGCAGACAACTCGGGATTGGGGAGACCTCGGGCCCACAGCTGGTTCCAGCTGCTCTCAGAGCAGGGTGCCTTCCTGTCTGCTAAACACGGAGTTTGCCCCAGAGAAGGGCGGACAGGGACGGCTCTGCAGATCCAGCGTGGCTGGCCACCAACCAGAGGAAAGCCTGTCCTCCCCAGGGCCCATCCTCGGCCTGTGAAAAGCCTTCTGAGGGGCACAGGCTTCAGAGGTGGAGCAGCTCCCCCCGCCCCCCCCGTCCTGTGGGCACGCTGGCCCTCACCGATGGCGTTGTGTATGTCCTTCACAGTGCTCTTCAGCTGCTCCAGCAGCGGCTCCTCCTTCACCCCCGTTGTTTGGGGCTCAGGCGGCCTCCCACGCCCCCGGCCCCACCCCTCAGAAGTAGCCAAGAAGGGTTCGAGGTCTTCAAAGGAGCTGTCTTTGCTCTGCACACCGGTCAAGCTGTGTGCCAGGGGTGAGGGGGGCCTGGCAGGGCTGCTGTCTGGCCCTCTGTCTGGGGGGCCGGCCTGAGTGCCGTCTGGGGGCCGCGGGGCCACGCTGGGCTCCGCAGGGGAGAGCATGCAGTAGAGGCTCTGCGAGGGCCGGAGCCGCCGGCTTCCCGGAGCCAGCAGCCCGTCGGCGTCCGGGGGCAAGGAACGGCAGCCGGGGGCAGAGGCAGCACCAACAGCAGCCCTGCTCACGACGGGGTACAGCGCCCGGTACACTGCACACTGGAGCTTCTTCAGGAGCTGCGAGATGGGGTGGTCGGGAATGCTGCGAGCACAGGAAGAGGTGTGGGGGTGCAGTGCTGAGGCCACGCCCTCACCTGCCGTCCACCTGCCCACCACGGGGCCCCACCGGACACATTTCAGAGGAGTGATGCTTGCAGTTTCCTTGTGAGTAACTGTGGCAGATAGAGTCTGACCCACCCCCCTGAGAAGGCAGAAGGCGGCTGCTGAAAAGACCACGAGGGTGGCTGGATGGGATGTCTGCAACCCCAGCCCTTCCGAGGGAGCCTGTGGGCGCCCCGTACAGTCACCCCCGATCTCCTCTCTGTCCCTTTCCTTTCTGGTCCTTTCGTCTGCCTGCCTTCAGGGCCAACCAGGAGGTAGGGGGGTGGAAGGCCCTGGTACCTGAGCAGGTGGGAGACCAGGCTGGTCACTAGCGACAGGTCCCCTGGGCTCTTCTTGAGCTGGGCCCTCCAGTGCTTCGGCCAGTCCTGCAAGGCAGGGGACTTCTTTGGAGAGCATGGCCAGGTCCCTGCGTGCCCCCTCGCCAAGGCTGCACCCCAGAAGACCAGCACCACACTGTCCGTGCCCTCCCTGGGGCATAGGAAGACCCAACACCAACGGGCCCTGGGAACAGCAAGCCATGACAGCCGCAGTCACAGCTCCCGGCACTCACGTGGTCTTGCTCGTACTCGAGGATGGCGGCATAGAGGGCCCGCTGCTCCCGCTCCTCTGGGCTCAGGGCAACTTGACTGCAGAACCTCCTGGGGTGAAAGACGAAGTGGGGCACCTTAGGGCTGGGGGGTGGGTGTGGAAGTCCCCACCAGTCCTCTCGGCTGTCCCCAAACCAACGGGAGGAGACGCACCTGTTGGCTGCCTCCTGGAGCCGCAGCCGGCGCTCCTCCATCTTCCTCTGCAGCTGGGGCGGCAGAGTCAAGGCCGAGTCTGGTGGGGCGGCACCCCCGCCCGCCTGCACTGAGTCCCCAGGCATCCGGGGGTATGGTCAGGCCAGGCGGGGCACAGGAGGCAGCAGGCCTGAGGACTGGTGCTCGCTCAGGGAACAAAGCAAGCCCTAGCCGACTGGACGGTTGGAGAGGGGCCCGTGGGTGCTAGGAGGAACAGGAGGGCCTGTGCGGACGTGGGCAGGGCAGGAGCCGTCCCTTAAGGTCATGCCTCTCCGAAGCTGGACGAATTCTGTCCCCACTCCGGCCCTTCACTTCCCACCTCACCCCCTTCTTGCTCAGCTCAGGACACCAGGATTGGAGGGAAAGGATACTGTCTCCTCCCGGGCTTTGGCGATCACAAGGTTCTCCATCATCTGCCGCTGCAGAGACAGGGTCTCGGAGAGGAAGGAGAAGATAAGGCCTACTCCTCTTCCACCACCAGCCCAGACCCTCCCGGAGACCCACTCACCAGGGATGTCTTCTGCATGGCCTGGCTGGGGTCCAGACGGGCCATCCGTGCCTCGTAGGCAGCCTTCAGCTTCTGATTCTGCAGAGAGGCCTCCTCCAGAGGTGTCAGCTCCCTGGAAATAGTGACGAGCTGCTGTCCAGGCCCCAGGAAGCTCTGGAATGCTCTGGTGACCTGAAGACCCTCCCTGAGTGTGCCCTGAGACCAGAAGGTGAGCAGGTGGTGGTGGGGGCAGGCAGGAAATGAAAAGGAGGGAGGAGGTCTGGGGTGGACTGGAGACCCTGCCCTGCTGACCTGGACCTGCCGTTGCTAAGATCTCTGATCTTTCAAGAGAAGCTGGACATCGTACTTTCTGTAGATCAGTTATACGTGTTTGGCAACAACATGAAACTTTTTAAAGGACTCATGTGAGCCAAACAACTAGATGATTCTGCCACCCATTAAATAGAGAACCCTGTCTAGTTGGTAGAAATGGCCACCAAAAGCTACCCCCGACCCCGCACTGAGACTTTTGGCCTCACAGGTCTTCATGCTTTCATGGTGGGAGAGGGTCAGTTGTGAGGACTCCAGCTGAGGGAAAATTTGTCCTGGGATGGAGGTCTTGTGCCTGGTCCTGCCCCCAAACTGCACATGCAGAAGTGAGGGCCTGGGACCTCTGGGCGGCAGTGGACCCGGAGGCTTGGCAGCACCAGGGCCACGAGGAGCCAGGCCTTATCTGTCCTAGTGGGGATTCTTGTATCTGACCGCTTTTCTCAGTTCCAGAAACTTATGTCCTGTTAGCTCTTCAAATAATGCCTCTCCCATTTTCTTCCTTTTCTTTTCCTGGAACTCCAATAATCTTGTGTTAGATCTTCTATCTTTCTCTCAGACTTTCTTTTTTCTCTCCCCTCTGTGAGTCATTCTGGGGGTCTACTGACCCTTTAACCAATTCACTCATTCTTTCCACAACTATGTCTGCTCTGTTAAAAACCGACCACTCATTTTTGTGTGCATGTGTGGACTCTCCCTGCAGGATATGATTTGTCGTTATTGTTTTCAGTTAGTTTTTAAAAACAATTTTGGTATTATATTTTTGTTTCTACTTGGTTCTTTATTTGCTGGGTCAGATTTTATGTTTTTTTTGTCCCCTGGCATTATTTTCAAACTTGCTTTTTACTTCTGTAAATGTAGAGAGCACGGCAGTTTAGCGAAACGTCTGCTAATTCCACCTGAATACTTGCAGGCTGTTTCTGCTCTTACTCTTGAAGTTTCTGGTTTCTTTCTATGCTTGCTTATACCTGACTGTGTGCGATTCGTGCACATGCTTCTGTCCAAAGGGGATCTGCATTTGTTTTTGTCAAGCACGAGGCTGTTTCCATTCTCGGACCCATTTTAACTAAAACCATTGTGGTTAGCTCCCTTTGTCTGGACTTTAAACCCAGGCTCAGCCCACCTTCCATTTGGCCCCTTCTTACTTCTTAGAACTTTGTGACTCTGCCGCCTGAAGCTTCTGGAAGATCTCGGGCGGCAGAAACGGAGATAGTCTCCCCCCTTCATCCGAGTACACCCGGCGATGTCGGCTGGTAGATGAGGGGCCAGGAGCAGCCACAGGCGTGGCTGGCTTCAGGTGCGTTTTCCCTGCAAGACGTACATAAGCAAGAGGCAGCATGGAGTCCAGTGTCCCACAGAGATGCAGACTTGTGGGGGAATGCCCTAGGGAAATCTGCTGGAGACCCACCAAGCTTGGCAGCTGTCGACTGGGCCCTCTCCAGACACTGCTCAGCCAGTTTCAGCATCTTTGAGGTGTCTGGGGCCACAGGGTCTCCACCTTCTGGGGATCAAGAGACAAGAAAGCTGGTCACCATCACCTTAATCGCTAAACAGATTCTTGCTGAGATAAAAACAAGGACAAGCCCATCCTCTCCTCATCTCTGACCCCTATGCTAGCCTATCCCCCTCCTCATCTCTTCACCCTGGGTCACCCTGCCCCCCTCCTCATCTCTGACCTCTAGGTCACCTCATCTCCTCATCATTTCTGATCATCTGTGGGGGGTTTGCTTCCTGATGCTGTGTGGGCTCTGAGCTTGGCCAGCCCAGCATCTGACCTGTTATCCCTGCTGGACCATCAGAGCCCCCTTCCTCCCTAACCAGGCCTTTTCTCAGCAAGCGCTTTCCTTGTACTTACAGCCCCTCAAGGTGAGCTATGTTGTGGCCATGGACCATTTCACAGAGACAACCTTACCACCTCTCTCCTGCCCTCTGGCTATGCTTGACCCCAGCTCTGGCACATCCCCGGGCCTTCTGTTCTGCATTCCCTCCTCTGGGGATCACTCCCGTCAGCAGATAGGGGCTGTAGGAGCTGGACCCCAGTAGCTGTAGTTCCTGACCCACCTATGCTCGCATTACAGCTAGCCTCTCACTGCATCCTGTTTTAGCCCTCTGACTCCCACTGAAACTCCCTCACTAATACCCTCATGTCGAGTCCTTCTCTGAGGGCTCCTCGACCTCTCAGGGTCTGTCTCTTCCATTCTGCTGTGCCCTCCTCCCAGGCCTCCATCTTGGAGTGCCCAGAGCTCTGCTAAGCTCACTGCCTGTCTGGGGCAGCTCTGATTCTGATGACCCTACCCCTCCCTAACCACCATGGTCCCATATCTACCAGGGTGCTGAGCACCTCAAGCACAACATGCTCATGATGGAGCTCTCTATTCTTCCCACACAAGTCTGCTCCTGCCACCCCCTGGACCAGCCCTCTGCACCTCAGTTTCCCCCCAGTTCATTGTCCACCCCCCCCCGCCCCGCCAAACAGTGGCTCACTGTCTCCACCCCCTATCCTGCCACCCAGCGGCTCATCCCCCACCCCCAGCAAATCTGTGATGTCTACTTTTTTTTTTTTAAGATTTTATTTATTTATTTGAGAGAGTGTGAGAGAGAGCGCACGAGTGGGATGAAGGGCAGAGGGAGAAGCAGACTCCCCGCTGAGCAGGGAGCCTGATGCGGGACTCGATCCCAGCACTCCTGGGTCCTGACCCGAGCCAAACGCAGACGCCCAATGCACTGAGCCACCCAGGCGCCCCAAGGTCTACTTTTAAAGAACGTCCCCAAGCCCTTCACTCCTTCCATCTCCAAGTGGTCCTATCACTGCTGTCCTCACTGTGGGAGCCTCCTGGAGGCTCTGCTTCCATGCTGGCCTCTCTCCCACAAAGCCTCTACAAGCTTCCCCTTACACCACAACAACCCCAGTTCCACCCAAGGCCATGACTGCCCCAACTGCACCTACTCTTCCCCGTACCCAGCATCCACTCTCACCTCAGGGCCTTTGCACATCCCTCTGCTGGGAGTGTTGCCCCCAGCCCCTGACTTTTCAGCAGCTCACTCCTTTCTGGGCCGGGGTTTGATGTCCAGTCTCTGGTTATGCCCCATCCCATTTCCATCCCCTGACAGCACCCATCCCTTCCTGCTCCCACATCACACTACGACAGCTCATGCTGAGTGTTCACCCATTCACCTTCTGCTAACGACTAATGGGTAGGACATAGGACACCCCCAGGCCTGAGACCCATCAAGGGCTAAGCTGTCCATCATTTGTTCAGTGCAGGAGGAGTGGTGAGGCTGAGAGCCGTACCTTTGGTGGTTTCCATTTCTTCCAGCAGCACCTGGGAGATGTAGTGGATGCTCCTCAGGTATTCTGTATATGCCTCCTGTGCCCAGGGAAGAGAAATGGCAGGCGTCAGTCCAGTAATGGCAAACAATTCCATCACGCCTGCCTCATGCCCTTGTGGGAAACAGAAATGGTGCTTGCTTATCTCTTGAGTTTGAGACATGTAGCCTGAGATAGTTAGCTGGTAGTTGCTCCAGGTGCTCAGAGATGTCCTGCACAGATAGTATCCCTTTTCTCTTGACTTGAAGAAAAACAGTGCCCAGCTGGGCACCCATCCTCCACTCACTGCCTGTTCCCAGCACAGGAAGAACAGATTCTCCAGTGCGCCAGGAGAAGCAGTCCTAACAGTCGCTGTCGAGTTCACTCTGCAACAGGTTTCCTTCCTGAGCGACTCAGGGGCTCTTTCGTCAGTGGCTTGAAAAAACCACAACTTTCCTGGGAGGTTACTGAGGGACTGATGTTGCAAATCTCAGAATCACTTTCTGGCTTCGGTTCTGGGAAATCCCTCTCCTGAACCCCCTGAGCACGCCGCAATCTCGAGTCCTAGAATATCGCCACGTTCCAGGGTCTGACGGTCTGCAGGGTTCCGAGCCAGAGCACCAGGCACTTGGAACCGCCGCATGACATCTTGTCGCATCCCGGTTGTCAAATTAACCTTTAGGTCTACAGCTCCGAGGTAAGGATAAAACGGGTTCCAGAAAGGATTTCTGACCTGTGGGGCACCTGCGGCCCTAGAAACCCGACTTGGGGAGAGCAGCCCACCGAGGAAGCAGGAGGCTCTTCCTGGGCACAGGCGGCCTCTCCTGTCCGTGGGCAGTCCAGCCGGCTGCCACCGTCCGGATTAACGCCCACGCTACCCGGCCCGCATTCCCTCCCAACAGGCGTGCTGGAAAGACGCATCGCGGACGAGCCTCAGTTAACCCTCGCAGGGTTCCGCCCGTTCGGGGAACCCGATTAAAGCTACAGTGTCTTCCCATGAAAACACGCAGCACACAGGGAACTGCTCGCTTCTTGAACCGCCTACAGACGAGCCCGGGTTCCAGGTCCCCGCTTCGCAGACAGAGACCGGCCCGCAGAGCGCGGG